TTGTGATATAAGTTGACAACACTGCCCTGCACCCAAAGAGTTGCAATATTTTGGAGAGGTATAATGAATCAAAAGCAAAGTAGAGTGTAAATAAAACTGCAGCATGAGTTTGCAAAGGGCCGTAACTGTCAGGATGGCTGATGGAGAGGAGTCTGCACAGAGCTGGCAGGGACTTGCAGAAATATTTCTATTCAAGCTTCTTAAAATTTAAACCAAATTAAAACACTGCTCCTCTCCCTTCTATTCTCCTTTTTCCTTTCTTTCTCCACCACTCTGAATAATTTTTTTTTTTTGCTTGCAGGTTTTCTTTCTTATTTTAGAAGAGTTTTTAGTTGCTATGTTTTTAGGTTCTAGATTTATTTTTTTTTCCCCTGTGAAACAATGTGTCTTGTTTTTTCTTTAATCTGTGTTCAGACTGTAGCGGTAACTTCTTATTTTGAAGTCTGTGATTACAGTGTGAGTCCTTATTTTCTTCCTGGAATACTTTCTCAGTTTACAGTTTATATAACTGATTTGACAAATCTTTCCTGCTTTACGGTGTATGATATTGCAGTTAAATAACTCTGTCGCTCATTTAATTAAATCAAATTGTTTATTTTCAGTTCGGATCTGATTAATGTACTATAATAGCTAGACTTAATAGAACTGGTCAAAACTTTTCAAAACTGCCCACACAATGTAAATCCCATCTGGATGTTAGTTTTTGTTCTGACCTGGAATGAAAGCAAATATGCACAAGCATCCCTGCAAACTGGAAATTCAAAATATGTTGCGGTTGCAAGTACTGGTGGAAAAAATACTCATCTCGTAACTTATACGTAGGCATCTAGTTCTCAACTTTGTTCTGCTTTATAAAGGATTATATCTTCAGTGGGGCATCCCAAAAGGAGCCTTTGAATTGTACCCCACTGACAGTCACTGACACTATGAGGGCAGATGTGCAATAAGGAGCAGAGATCAGAGTGTCTTCCAGTATGGACCTGCCTCGTTGCAAGAGGAGACCTGATGAGCTAGGTTAAAAAGAACTGAACATTCCATATTGTATTATTTAGGAGCAATTAAAAATACTTCGGTGTGTCTTAGGATTGTGGTTTTGTATGACACCAGGATTTGCATGTCATGGGTGAATGTAGAAATAACACAGGAAAACACAAATGTGGAAACAGGAAACAAAATCCCCCAGCCCAACATGAAAGGTTGGGATTTTGAAATGAAATTCCCAGATTTTCCAGCATTGGGTTCCTGAGAGAAGAACGTGTGTTTTGATCCCTCTGGGGGATGCATTTGCAAGCAACTCAGCTTTTGAGAATGCTGCTTGTAATAAAATATTTCTGATTAAAAGAATGTTGATGACAGAGTTCTGACCTATCTAAAAAGCTTTAGACCTATTTTCCTCTTCTTTCCATTTCTGCTGACTCCAGTCACTAGTGCTGTCAGCACTGTTTAGGAATACCATTTTTCAGTGTTGTTTCCTGATAAAGAAATAATGGCAGGAGAAAAAAAATAATACCCTGCTGACATGTTGAAGGCAGGCAGTGACTGCTGGGAGCAAGGTGACATTTGCAGACACCTGGGGTTTGGGTGTCTGCAGTTCCTCGTTAGCAGTTTGTAATCAACATATGGCATGTCTGCATGGCAAAACACAGAGTGATCAACCCAGCAGTGCTCTGGGCTAATATGGCTATTATTGGGTTTTTTTTTCCTTCTACCCAAGTAACTTCTGTAGATATTTGGATCTAGCTGTGTTGTGCTGTTCCAGAGATACCATGAGAGGAAATCTCAAAATCCCAACCCTGCTGTCACGGTTTGTGCTTTGCTGTCAAGCCCTCCATTCGTCCTGGAAAAAGGAGGTGACTCACGTCCCTGCTCCACGCCAGCTAGTGCTGGAGGTGTGTTAGCCAACTGTGACCTGACCGTTAGTCACTGCAACACGGCCACTGCCTGCAACTTTCCATTTCTTGGCCCTGCTATTTTTGGGTCCGGTAATTAGGAGGTGAGCTGTGAATCACCGGTGTCTTGCTTCACGCCAGGAGGAAACCAGGCAAACTGTGTTAACGTGCTCAGCAGGAGGGATTCTTGTTCTCCAGCGTTTTACAGGCTTTGGCCCTTCTTCTTGCTCCCCAGAGCAATGTGCTCACCCTTCCTCATGTGTAACTGTCACGCAGAATCTGAGCAATGGCCAGATGGTCTTGGGCTCCTCTTCCCTCCAGCCAAGTGTCGCCTTCTGGGCAGGAACTGATGCTTCAAAGCTCTGGAGGGGATTCCCAAAGGGTCACAAGGGCTTTTATTGATTTGTTCATCCAGTCCATGCAGGCAGGGTTTAGATTAGAAAATGTCATCAAATGGGAGGCCAGACACTCATGTTGACATTGGCCACTAGGGCAGCTGGTCTTGCAATGTTTCTGCCAGGATAGTTATGCCCTGGGGCTTGTTCTTCACCCTTCGCTGTGTGGTGTGGTGCACAGCAGCCCAACTACGTTGGAACTTGCCAGTAGAGCCAGGGGGAAGTTGCTACTCTTTTTGTAAAGGCTTTGATGATGTGTCAAGAGAGGAACGTGGAGGACTTTTCTGCTACTTTATACGGGCAGCAGGTAGAATGCATATGTGATATTCTGCGTAAGCAGCTGTTAAATCCCATCCCTCTGCTTCACCACTTTGCTTCCCACCACCCGAGCAGGACAGGTTCACCTGTAGCCCTGTTTATGTGCCCCAGGCTTTCTACGCACGTTTGTTTTTCTTGCGTGTTCCTGCCTCTGCCAGTCCCTTCCCAGTTCAGCTTTGTGATTCAATGTGCCTGTTAAAACTGGTCTCCAAATGCTTCTTCTCAGATAGATACAAAAAAACTGAGGGCATATTTTTGCACCCAGGAACCACTGGCTGGAAAGGAGCCTGCTGGGGATCGTCAGGCTGTTGGAGGACTGGGGACAGAAGAGCTGTAAACCTGCAGGAATTTGAAAAACCTACTTTAATTTAAGAGGAATGTTCTTTTGTTCCCAAATGGATGGGCCTCACTCCAAAGATGTTCAGGTGCAGTAACTGTTACCAGATGGGCTGTGAAAAGCAGCACAAACAGGTGGTGAGGACAACAACCATAGACTTTAATTTCCTTGTCAGCTTCCCCCTGTGCCTTACATACCCCCTTGAGACCAGGAGGATGAGAGGAGCTGTCATATTTGTATATGGCAAAAGGAATGACTGTCGAGGGGATATTCTGCAACTGTACGTAGCAGGTCAAGCTCTTGGACTCTCAGTGGTGAGACTGTCATCTGGACCAAAGTGTGCCGTGATTAACTTAAAACACAATTCACAAGCACATGCATTTTTATAGATAAAATGACCAACATATTTTAATGCATGCTGACATGTATATTGGCTCAGATCCTCCCAGGTGTAACTGCTGTTCTTCCACGTAAGACAGTGGGACCATGATGATATTGCCCAGCTGTGGCTCTGCCCGGTGTGCTTGGGTACACTGAAGGCTGGAACTGCAGGAGCATGAGAAGCCCTGATGGTTTTGTTGGGACCCCATGCATACTGGAGCACTTGAAGAGGGACAGGTGGAAGGCGATGGCACAGAAGCCCTGAAGCCTGAATGGGGCTGTTCCATGGAGGTAGCAGTGTTCTTCCGCTCCCATGGGCTCGTGCCTTGCTCTCCACTTCCTTTGGCATGGCTTCCCATGGGAACTAAACTGTTTGCTGTGTTGTGACTGGTGTGATGAGTAAATGTACTTCGGTTACTGGTAGGGTAGAAGCAACACCAGTGTCATAGCCTCCAGCTTGCCCTAATAAAGTGCATTCAAACCCCTGTAGCTGTTGCTCACTGCTTGCCAGTCCCTGTGAGTGCTCATGCATTGCTAGCTCCATCGCTGCTGCTGCAATGGCATGTGCAACAGCACTGGCAGAAGGAGGGACGGTGCAGAGCAGACACTTGCTAAGAAAAGCCACTTCATACAGTTCATGGAGCAATACTGATGTTGCTCCAGTGACTGTAGCCATGGGCAGTAGTGGTAAGTGTGACTCCAGATGTACAGATATACTGATGTATGGCTGGAGTAAATACAAACCAAGCACAAAACAATATGTGCAATATGATGCACAGTTAGCTGCTCACCACCTTGCTGGCCTGGGCAAGGCAAGGTTGGTTCTGGAGAGTGTACAACTATTCTTCAGTCAACACTATCCAACATCCTTATGCTCAGGCCCTCTCTTACTGCGTTTTTGATTCTCAGTTGCAGTGCTGTCCATGTCCGACTGTATATCCATGTCCTTGGCTTGCAACAAGTGAAGCTGGCCTTTGTGCTTATCTCTTCTTCAGGCCTGTATCAGTCATGCTTCATTTCCACCGTCTGACACCTTTTCATTCACAGCTCCCCATCTCTGCCCAGAATGATGCCTATCCATCTGGATGTGAGGAGGAGAATGCAGTCTTTATTTAAGCCAAGTAGAGCTACATAGAGAGAAGAGCATTGTCTTGGTTGTAGTCAAGCCCAGAGTGATAGCTATTTCCTTGTGTTTTCCTTACTCAGAGACAAGCACACTTTCTCACAGTTAGTAAGAGCTGGCACAGGACTCATGCTCACCTGAGACAGCTCTATTATATCCCAGCAAGGGCAGTCCTTGGAAGGCTGAAGACCAGACAACAGGAGTGCATGATCTGACCATAAAGAAAACCTAGAAAAGGTTTCTAGGATTGTTGGGAGTGGGGAGATGCATCTTAGACTTTTTTATTTCTTGTTAGAGATAAGGAAGCTGAGGCATGGTGTAGCTTGGAAGAGCTGGTACAAATCTTACACACCTGAGTTGGGAAATAAATGCTTAGGGTCGATGCGCTTTCCATCTCCTTTTTCCATGGGGACTAACACAGCACAGTTCAGGTGCAGTTCTGAAATTGTGCAACCCCTTCCGAGGTCCCTTCCATCTTGAAACCATTGAGCTTACTTGCCCTAATGCTGTGGGTTGTTAGCTTTCTAGCCTTTCACATCTCTAATTGTCTCTTCTAGACGATCAGCTGAACTCAGAAGAGAAGAAGAAAAGAAAGCAGAGAAGGAACAGGACTACCTTCAACAGCAGCCAGCTCCAGGCATTAGAGAGGGTCTTTGAGAGGACACATTACCCTGATGCCTTTGTACGGGAAGACCTTGCACGCAGAGTCAACCTCACTGAAGCCAGAGTTCAGGTAACCACCACAGCTTGTACCCAGACGGACCTCACCTTGACAGAGGTCGTCGGCCATTCCATACAGCAGTAGAAATCCTCGAGGTCTGTGTGGCACACTAGGATCACCTAGCTTCTGGGTCATGCTGTATTGCAGTCCTAAGAATGCCATGCCTTGAGGAGGACTGCCAGGCCTGATCTGCCACCATACTTGCCACCTACCCAGTAAGGTGTGTTCGTATGGTTCATTTGAGGCCAAGATGTTGGATGTCCTGTGCTCAGGCTGCTCACGTTATCCTGAGATGCTCAGCTCTTAGCTTGCAAGCCTGCACCTTCTGAAGGTCAAAGCAGGCTATGGAGCATGATGTATTGTACAGCACTTCAGGGCCTTGCTACCTACAGCATTGGACAGGCCTGATCCCACAGGGACCTTACTGAGCAAGTTCCTCACCCAAGAGCTCTATCAGGGCAGACATAAGGGTTGTCTTGTCATGAGAGTTTCTGGTGACAGACATGCCAGAGCAGCCTGCTTTAACAGAGTCCTGTGTTACCCAGCAGGGCAGAGGTGGTGTGGTGAATGGGTGGTTGTTGCAGCAGAGCTGGTTCTGACGGTTGGTGGGTCTGTGTGCTTCCCAACCCAGGTGTGGTTCCAGAACCGGAGAGCCAAGTTCCGCAGGAACGAGAGGGCAATGCTGGCCAGCAAGAACGCGTCTCTGCTCAAATCCTACTCAGGGGACGTCACCGCCGTGGAGCAGCCCATAGTACCTCGCCCAGCTCCGAGACCCACTGACTATCTCTCCTGGGGTACCACCTCGCCTTATAGGTGAGTGAATAACACCTCTGGGGCTCACCAGTTTCTGGCAGCCTGAGACAGCCCCAGACAGCAAAAGTCACCTGTTTATATTCACATGGGACAACTGGAAGATACGGCAGTTTGACCACCCCGCTGGTTTTCCTTATGTGTCCCATCCTGCCCCATCCCACTGCATCTTGCAAGGTGGGCTTGGTTCAGTGTCATTGTGGCTTTGTGGCAGCCAGCTGCATGGGAGGTTGCAGCTTCTTTTTTTCTGGTGGTGTCTGGCTGCAGTTTGGGAAGTTTCACGAGAGGATCGGGTAGAAATACATGAAAACAGAAGGGGTTGCACTTGCTTTACTAATGCCTCCAGTTTAAAGCAAGGAAGAAACTTTTGCATGGAGCATACATTCATGCGAGGTGATGGCAAATCATCTGGGGTGTCTCAGCCACCACACAGTGGCCAGAAGAGGGAGTTGTGTGGCTGTCCCATGGCAGTCATTGGTTGGGATGCCAGGAAGGGCTGGGAACTCATTCTGTGTTGCTCCCAGTCCTCCCCTCAATGGTCAGCGTTGACCTGGTGAGCAGTTTCTTTCTAGTTGCTGGAACACGTGTGTGTGTGTGAACGAGCTGTGCTGTTGTGCTGTGCGGTGGTTTGCCCGCAGTAAGGACCAGGTGTCTCTGGGTGGCAGACTGGTGTTTAGTGTCCACCTCCTGTGGCCAGCGCTGCTTAAGGAGTGGCAGGAAAGAAGAGCAGATGTGGCAAGCCCAGTCTGCTCAAAGGATCTGGGATGTCCATGCATGTCACAGGCCTCCCTGTCCTCCTTTGTGCTATCTACAACCCAGAAGGAACTGGACATGGACACAAGATCCACAGGATCTGTTGGTTTGTGGGGAGCCATCTGGCTTGTAGGCAATTAAAAATTAGGTTGGTGGGTATTTTCTAGCATAATGGCTTCACTGTTTGTCAAGACCTTGCAGCCTTTAGCTGGATCTCTTCCTGTTCATCTGGCTGAGTCATAGCCAGCTTCCCACTGGCTTCTGGGAGCCACACAGTGCCTCAGAGCTCTTTTCCTCAGTCACTTTGACCTTTCTTGCACCCCAAACATGGTTTGCACAGTTAGGTCTGCAAACACATGGCCTTCTTGATTGTTACTTCAGTGCCACTGGATCCACTCTGCAGCTCCAGAAGAACAAGTCATAGATTCACACACTCTGGGTACTGAAAAAGATGCTTTTGATGATCACCAGTTGCTCTTAGACATGGCCCTTACCATTTGGATTTTATCTGAGGACAGGTCTCTGGCAAAATCTGGGCTAAGGCTTTCTCTCTCTGAAGTGCTCCTCGCTGTGGCATCCTAGGGAAGAGTGGACGGTGAGTTCAGTGGAGAGAAGCACAGGTCCTTCCCCACCCCACTGAGACAGCTCTCAGGTCACAGTACGGGATCATTCCTTTTGAGATGTTCTTTACACAGGGAGCTTCTAGGAGAAGACCCTGCAAAGGTAACTTCCAGGGGCACACTGGGAAGGGCTATCTGAGGCCACTCTGGGAAATGAGAAGCCCAAAGGATCTGGGTTGTGCAGACAAGGAGAACAATAGAGAAGGGAAATCCTTTTGGATGTTTTTTCTCTCCCAGAGGTCCAGACCTGGCTGTGTGTCTCCGCAGTGCCACCACAGTGCAAAGATGCATCCTCACTCTCTTGGTATCTTCACCTTGCCTTAAGCCAAGATGTTTCAGCAAAGGCATTTTCAGCTCACAGCCATCCCCACTGGCTGGCATGCCAAACCAGGACAGACTGTCACTCTCCTGCTGCTGTGCAGAGGGGTAGGAGGCATTGGCAGGGGATCAGGGAAGCTGGTTTCCATAATGTGGGGCATTCAGGACCCTCGGACAGCTTGTGTTCCCCAGGCTTTCTAATCCTGCTGGTCATCTCTTAATCGTCTTAATGGGCACCTAGGCCAGGTTGTCACAGCCTCATTGAAACATTAAACTGAGTAGGGTTATTAAAGTATTGGGCACTTGGTGCAAAACAGCCGTGCAGAGTGTTTGCATGGCCCTCTGCCCCCTCCCCATCTCCCCAGCGCTGCCACAGCAGCCCCTGATTAACAGCTAGTCTGGGACGGGGCTGAGAGTTGCGTGGCCAAGCTGTTTTTCCTCTTAGATCTGGGGAAAGTTTTCAATCAGTGTGTTTATTCTCCAAATACATTCAGCCACAGGTCAACCAAAGCTATTTGCAGATTTGTGTCACGTAGATAGCCAAGTAGATACTGTTATTTTTTTGAAGTTGAAATGTTTTGCTTAGACATTTCTTAGCATAGGTTCCTAAGAAAACAAGACTAGCAGTCGTGCTGTCAGCCTCCACTTCCCACTCTAACAACCTTTGACTTCACGGGCCATTGAAAACCATATTTGAAAGAAGGATTTTAGGCCTCAGAAACATGATGTTCCTCTGTCTCATGACAAGCAGGCATCTGACTAAAGGAAAGAGATTCTTTCTGTGCCTGAATGGGGTGGGGGCAGGGGGCAACAGGGTGACTACAACCGTTATTAGACCCTGGAGAGTCTCGGGAGCAACCCTCAAGCTATAGTGATGTTTGGAGATGGCCTTCTTGCACATTTCTCTTTGTGGAGTAACTTGCTAAATGAGAGGGTTTCTGGAGACCTTTGGTTTCGCAGAGGCTTCATTGCACAACAGTCGTTTTCCCCACACCTTTGGGGAGCTGACAGCAGGAGGCTCCGTGGAGTGTTAGACTAAGCTTGGGCAGCACTCTGGTTTTGAATGGAGACAGTTTACCCCCGAGACTGAAAATTCGTGTTTTATCTAATCTAGCGCACCCTTGAGGCTCTTAATTTCTTCCAGCACAAAGCCATGGGAGAGATGCACACTGCAGAAGCAGGTGGCAATTGGTGCTTAAGGAGACACTAGCTATACATCTTGTGAAACTTCGCAATGCCTCTGCAGGCAGCACTGCTGCTGCTGCTGAGTTACAGGGGAGGAGAGGATAAAGTCACCCACCCAGCCATGGAGAAAGGAGTGGGGGTTGCAGAGCCAGCTGGGGCAGGCTCCAGGCATGCTGATCCATCTCATCTTGGGCAAAGTGCAGCTGATTGCAAAGATGACAGTTCCTCCCTGAAGAAGTTCTTTTCCCTGATTTTAAAGTGAGATATAGGAGTGATTTAGCTTAGAATGGGACCTACTAGTATTACCTGCTCTGGCTCTCCTGGAGGCTGAGGATTCAGACAGCACTGGATTGCATTTTAACTCCTTGAATGTTGTTTCTACCGTGTGAAGTCGGAGATGCTTCTGGTGCTTTGAGGCAAGCATACATGCCCATAGCCTGGATCTGTTTGTACAGCAAATGCCCACTTCCTTCAAGGGAGATTTGCTGTTGCAAAGGCTCTTCCAGCTGCGGAAGTCAGCGCTGAAAGAATTTTTTTTTTAAAGAGAGAAAAGGAAAAGAAAAACAAGAAAAACAAAAGAAAAAAACAAGCTGTCTTCTTTCTTGGGCTGTGAATGGAGGAGAGTATTCCCCATAGACTCAGACATGAGCTACCTGAGAAGGCAGATGGAAGGGGTCACCAGCAGAGCTGAGTTTGCCTTCAGGAGAACATTTGTAGTTCCCTTCTGAACACACTGGTTGCATTAAATGGGCATCTCTAGTGTTTTTCAACTGGTTTTTATCTGTGGACCCACATATAGGAAATGGAACATGTCAGATAGTTTGCTGCCTTTTGGGACAGGGGCGTTGCTTTTCGTAGAAAACTAGGACACATGGGTTAAAAAAGTTTTCTAGTGGTCTGGAAAGCAGATTTGCAAATTTTTTGGTAGGATAAGAAAGGACTCGAAGATATTTGTTCAGCCTTCATTGCCAAAAGTAATGTTTTCCATGAATAAAGTCGTTATTTGAAAGGAAAAAAAATGTTTGTGTGTGTGTGTGTGTGTTTTTTTTTTAGCCTTTAAGGCATGCTTTTTATGATCAGCTGAAGTTTTGAGGGAAAAAATGTGGAAATTTTCATTCCAAAAGGCTGAAATAAAAAAGCATCACAGTTGTTGAAATGGGTTTTTCCCAGAGTGTTTCTTTAATGTAACATGTGTTTCAGAAGTGACGTGATTTCACAAGCAATAAAACCAGCAATTGCCCTCATCAAAAAGACATTGCTTCCAGTGGGAATACTTTTAAGGACAATGGTAGGCTGGGCACCCTGACCTCATTGTAAACCTTTGGGGTTAGAAAATAGGAAATGGAAATTTTCCTATTGGCTTCAACCAGCTTTGGCCTTTTCTGTACCTGGGTAAATGAACTGCAGCAAAGAGATTTAAAATGGTGTTAAATAAAAAGTAGCGATAATTCCCTGCTCACATAAGAAATACATCCTGCAGGTATGGAGACCTCAGGGTTTAACCTCACTGTGGTGCACATCTGCTCTCTGCGTGGTGTAAAGACCACACCTTACATGATGTTTCTCTCTTTCCATCCCACAGCGCCATGGCCACCTACTCCGCCACGTGTACCAACGCCAGCCCGGCGCAGGGCATGAATATGGCCAACAGTATTGCCAACCTGAGACTGAAGGCAAAGGAATATAGTTTACAGAGGAATCAAGTGCCCACAGTCAATTAACGACTGGAGGCAGCTGCCCTTCAGAAAGAGAAAATACAACAGCACCCGTCCTGCTTTGCAACTTCTTTGTGCTGAAAGGAAAAAAAAAAAACAAAACAAAACAAAAACACTAAACCAAAAAAAAAAAAAAGGAAAAAAAAAAAAAAAAAAAACAAAAAAACCCAACCCAACCACAACCCAAAAAA